CATAACCCATTATTTCCTTTCCTCTCTTCAAGAAGGGAGGAACACATTGACACATTTTTATATATCAGGTAATCTGATTTTAAGGAAATGGCTTTACTTTCACCTTTTACTCAGGCATTTTCAGGAGCTCTGGCATTTTACAATTTAATCAGAAATGGGTTATATCTTGGTTTAGAAATAAAGTGTGAATTGTTGAGCCTCTAATATGTACTACAGGCCCATGAATGTCACTTGCTAACCTGCAGGTTCAAATCTTACAGCAATACTTTAAATACCAGGGCAGAATGTACTTCTTTATATGTCTTTCTTTATAGCCTCAAAACTAAAGAAGATACTTGGATATAATGTGGAAACACATGACAAAGCAATTTTCTGGGTAGAAATACTTTATTTTGATTGTAGTGTAATGATATTATGGAATTTCCATGGATTTGAAGATATAATTATAGTGCTGTGTTGTATACTTTATGTATTATAATATTGCTTCATTAAGTCAAGTTATAATAACTCTTAGCATTTTCTGTAAACAAAGGGAATATTTTAATTGAGGTTGCTCCTGTTGAGGATACTTGTCCTCAGATTTTATACTGTTGGTCCGTCTAGTAAAGTAGCGGTGTTAGTGTAAAAGTGATCAGCAACCTTTATGCTCCTAAAATTAATTGCTCCCCAATGAGGCTCAAAGAACTCAGTTTTATAGGAACTGATTACTCCTTCCTTCCTTCCTTCCTTCATTTATCTCTCTTTCTTTCTTTTTTTTTTTTTTTAAGAAGGAAAGAGTAGATGAGAAAAAGATGGAAAACAAGAGGACATAGGAATACTATGTCCTAGGGGGATAAGTAGCAATAAAAAAGTGAAGAGATCAGGAAAAACTAAAGATGAAGTGGGAGTTTGGTCTGGGATTGAGAGTATGGGGAACATAAATGTAGTTGGTAATAGAAAGAACTTCAGATCACGTAATAGAAAGAACCTGGCATACATACAGCAGTGTGGCTTAGTGAAAAATAAGGATGCAGTAGTACAAAATGGAAAGCTCACAGCCAGACAGGACTGGGTTCAATCTCATCTCCACCTCCAATTAGCCACATGCCTTTGGGTGATATGGCTTTTGGACTATTTCCTCATCAGTAAACTTGGGATATCTGCCCACTAAAGATGACTACAGGGTGAGGGCATCTGGCATGATGATACCTGGTAATGAATGGGAGGGATTCAAAAAATTACCCGCATAATTATTATAAGTAATCCATAGATTGAGGGAGATTACATGATGGGGGACGAGCAAGAAACGTACCATCCAGGTGAATTCTGGGCAGAGTGGAGAAATAGACCAGTTTGGCCCTTAGCAGTCTTTTTGTGTTTCACAACATTTCACAATACACTGCTCAGTGAATTATTCTGTTTGCCTAGAGCTCTGTGAGCTCTCCTTTCTGAAAGTCTCCTTTGCATTATTGCACCTCCTCCTTTTTTCCTTAGAAGTTGTTTTCTGGAATTGATTTGTAGAACCCCGGCATCAAAGATCAGTTAAACTCATTTATTTTAAAGAAGTAGAAACTAAAAAGAGAAGCCCAAAGTGGGTATTTTTTTAAAATTAATTAATTAATTAGGTTGTGTGGGGTCTTAGTTGTGGCAGGCGGGCTCCTTAGTTGCAGCTCGCGGGCTCCTTAGCTGCGCCAAAGTGGGCATTACTGAACTCAGGTTGGACTGCTCGAGACTTGAAAGTCAATACTTGAGAGACAAGTGCTGGTAGGAATGGAAAGGTTGCTTTATTCAGGAGGCCTGCAACCTGGGGAGAAGGCAGACTTGTGTTCTAGAACCAACTCAAGATTCTGCTTGGCCATGAAAGTTTTTAAAGGGAAAAAGGGGGAGTAAACTCATTTAATCATTGAGGTAGGGGGTCAGATTCATCACCATCTCCCATTGCATGCACACTTGTGGACTCCTTGTGATCTTTCTTTAAATGCTGTCTTGTTCACACAGTTGGCTTGAGGGATTACAGAAGGGGAAGCTGGGGAAAAGATCTAGTCATCTGTTAATTACTTAGTCTTCATTTCTATTTCTTTGATCTAAGGAAAGAATCAACAGGTTGGGCAAGGCATTGTGCTTGGGCAGGAGGTGAGTAGAGCATGGGGGTGCCTAGTTTAAAGGTTAGTTACAATATAGCTTTGCTAAAATGACAAGACAAAAGGGGCCTCCTGCAGAGAGCTGCTTCCTGCAAAGGGCTGTTCCCTGCAAAGAGCAAAGCATATCCATCGTTAGTAACAGAAACTTTAAGAATCACTTGAAAAAGCAGGTGAAGTGTTTTGCAATCCCAAATTACTTGGTAGCTGGAGATTAATTACCTGAGTTCTTCAGATCTATCATGGTTGGGCTTCATGAGTAGAAGGGGGGAGGTTCCCCAGATCCTGATATTTTATACAAAATTTTGTGTGTATACACATCTTTCTGGTGGAGAAGGTCTATATCTTTCATCAGATTCCCAAAGGAGCATTTAATATCTCAAGTTTTAAGAACTATGGTTTAATTCTCTAGACTATAGAAGGATGGCAGTGCTCTAAGGAATGTATTCTAGTGTCTTGCTGCTCCAAGTGTGGTCCTAAGAGAGCATCAACAACCACAACTGTGGATCGTTAGCAATGCAGCACCTTAGGTTTTCTGAATATCTGCGTTTTAACACCAATCTCTAGGTGACAGTTGTGCATATGAAAATATGAGAAGCCCTGTTCCAGGCGTCAGGAGATCAGATTTGACTTTGTACTCTGGCTCTGCCAAACGCTAATGTCCAATCCCGACTGGATTTTTAATATTGCACATTATATGACATTAAACTACCAAACTCAGAATCAGAATGCTTGGGCTCTAGTTCTGAGTTGGACAGCAGTCAGTTGCTGACTTTGGCCAAATCTCTGAACCTGCACGGGTCTCTATTTCTTAGCCTGTAAAATAAAGGAGTAGATTCGTCTTCTTTGAGCTCTGAATTTACCTTTTGTTTCCCACACATGTATTTTGTCACCACTTATCTCTTGAAATGCTCTCTTTTTGTCAGGGCCCACCAAATGTCTTCCAAACCCTGAAGCCCACACTGGTTTCTTTCATCTTTGAACCTCTATTATAATTTCTGTACTACTCAATTTATCCCTTTATTGTATACTAAAGTTTTCTGTAATTGTTTGATTTGTGTATCTTGTTTTCCAAGCTTGGGACCATCCAAGCTATGTCTATTTCTTCTCTTATTAAAGGTATCATAGCACAGGGCATGTAGTAGACGCCTAATAAATCTGAAGATTGGATGCTGTGTTTTGAGAGAGGACATCTATATGTGACACATGAAGAGCCCCAATCTCCTTAGTTTTAAATTGGTCATGTTAAAACATATAAGTCCCAGTTGCTTTCAGAAGCAATCATCTTAATAGAATAAGCTCAAAGGAAAGAATGTGTTGAGCTATACTTCTGCCTCTCAGAATTTCCTTGTCTTTAGTAATTCGGAAATGTATGTATTCATATATATGTGTGTATATATATATGCATATGTATATACACACATCTATATAAAGCAAATTAAATTCTTTCACCAAAATAGTAAGACTATTTCCAAGTTAGTTACTAATAAGTTAGCTTGCCATTTCCAGCACAGCTAACAATACAAATACTGTGGTTCTCACTTGGAGAAAGAATTTTTAAAATAATCTTAAAATGACAGAGGACAGAAGACTCCTGTGTTAGAGAAAAAAGACTTCGTTACTCCCAGCACAGCAAGCCCCATGAGTATCCGCATATTTGTGTCAGTTCCCCTTGACACCCAAGTCCCACAGAGGCAAAGCAGACATTTGCAGATGAATGCCTGCGCATGCAGTGGGTCATGTTACAGGAGAGGAACCCTGAGTTTAGAGAACCTGAATCTTCTACAGTGGGCAGGCGCGTGCTATCTTTTGCTCCAGAGTTATTCTTGGTAGTAAGTTTGTCTATCATTTGCTGCAAAGGGAGAAGCGATCTTACATTCTAAGGCTGTTTTCTATGTAAACATCTTTAACAAGATAGTGTGGAACGAACTGCTGTCAGGGATTAGTTTCATAAGAAGTGCAGGAATGCTAGTGATCCATTGAGAATTGTATGCCAAGAGTGTTATTCTTGATTCTGTATAATAAACAGATCAGAAACATTTTCAAGAGCTGTCCTATTAAAGCAACTTTTCTTAAGCTGTACAAAGTTCCAACATCCCTCTTTATGTGAGGCAGAAATTTGATCTTGAGGTCAAATCAGAAATCTTTCACCTTGGGGCACAAATCATTGTCTTACTAAAATGCAGAAGAGAACTGCCCTCTAACCGTGGAGGGCTTAGTGGTTTGAAGTTGGTGACAGAGTAGCTATGTCTTTTGGAGAGTCTGATAGGAATGCACAGGTCGTTCTGACAAAAGGCAGCAGGATCACTTTTGTTGCTTGGGAAGTGGGATTTTGCTGCCCGTTTAGTACTACATAATCAGGAACAGGGGAACAGCCAATCAGCCTGGGCTTCTAGCTGTGTTTGTGACTCTTGGCAGAGCATTGAGTCCAGGACACCGCACTTTCAAACATTCTAGACCGGTCAAAACATAAACAAAACAATGGGTTGGGCGTGAGCCGGACCTTGAGAGCAGCAGATGGCTGCTGAGTTCCTGTTTGCCTGCTTTCGGCCCAGGAGGAAGAACCCAGTGTTTTGGCCAGATGCTTATATCTCGAGAATCCCACATGATTCTTGTCATTAATATTGTTTCCTGTCATGTGTTCTAATTATAAAGATGTTTAAGCTATCGTTGGGGGGGAGGAAAAGTCTGGATGCAGACTTTGATGTAACTTTTCACTGTGGGTTCTTTGGTGAGAGAAGGGTTTAGTGAGGTGTTCTCTAAGTGTCAGTTTGCATCATCATAATCTGAGTTTAATTTTATCTTTTAAAACAATTCTATTTTGCCTGTATCTTTTGAGAAATCGACTAAAGGTTGTTTTCTTTTCTTTTCTTTTTTAATCAGTTACTTACAATGCGTCCTTAGATGCTATTATTTCCAGTACAACCAGCAATACACACACTGGGGTGCTGACATGGAGAGAGAAAACAAAAAAGCGTCTTAAAATGACATCCTTCAACATTGCCCAGGGCATTCATGCTTTTGATTACCACTCTCGTATCAAGTTAATTGGTATGTAAAATAAATCATGATAACTACGAGGGACTCATCAATAGTCTGGGATGCATAGCCGTACGCATGGAGCCTCTTCACCATGTTGCTTTATCGCCAGGGAGACCAACTTGAGCAGCTCACATTTTATTACGTCTGACAACGATGCATTATGGTGTGCAGTGTATATGAACTACATTGGGGTGACAAGATGAGAAAGTTCCCCAGTGCTTTAATGAGTCTTTTTATCAGAATTGGTGGGGAATGTAAAATGACATAGAGAAAGAATGCAGTGTCTGCCTTCTGCCATCTTCCTAACATCACCCAATGCTCAACCTATACATCATTTTCTTATGTGCGTGCGCACACACACGCACACACACACTCACTCACTTACTAGAGAAATGCAAAATGTAGAATGTTTTTCAGTCACCTTTCAGAATACAACTTCTAATAGTTTTTGAAAATTTTCAGATTTGTCCTTTAGCATACTAAAGGAGAGTTCTTTTTCTGATGTAAATTTTAGCTGAAGAAATAAGCGATAAAGGTTTTCAGGCATTATCTATTTAAATAAAATATTTAGGTATTTTGAAAGCTGATAATTTGATATATATGATATTAGTTCAAATATTATAAAAAAGTGAGGTATTATTTTAAAAATTAATAGGGTAGTACAGAGAATGAATGTACATGGCCTACAGAATGGGTCATATTAACCCTGTTTCAAAAATTATCATTTATATAGAGTATTGATATCAGCTAAGAAGAGTCTCTAAAATTCCCAACAATCACAGCTGACAATCACGGTAAAAAGAGACCTTGACTTTGAACTCAGGAATATGCCAACATCAGACTTTCAAGGAGGATTGTAGATTTATTAGAGAAAGCTGGAGGAGTTAGTGAATTGAGTTTGGGAGGACTCAAATATCAACCATTGCATTGATTCATGGATTATTTCAGCCCCTTTATACTGATCGCTACCTTGTACCTGGCACAGTGCTGGTATTACATATTACGGTATGCAGTAACACTCAGGGTAAAATTTATCAGTTGTCTTACTAATTTCATACTATGGGGTAAAGACTTGAAACAAGAGTGGATTCACTTCCTCTTATTGCTATAACCCTTACACTGGGTATTAATCCAAATAGGGGTCTGCCATTTATGGCGATTCCATAAATGTGAATAAGTTCAGCTCCACAGTTGGCCCTAAACAAGGGAACGACAAAGAGTGCTCTGCTGAGTTTCCCCAGACCTGAAGAAGCACTGTGCTCCCAGTTTTTGATGTGCTCCCTGAATATAATCAATTTGTGTTAAAAAAAAAATACAAAATTATTGCCTCAATAGAGCAGGTCAAACATATTTCTGCTGCTTTTTTGCTTGCAAATACTTGATTATTTACATGACAGTGAAAATAATTGGTTTCCTTACACTTTTTCATTAATTTGGGAACTTTAAGTATTGTTTTAGTTCTCTCTTACCCCTGGGATAATTTTAACGTGGTCTGCATTCCTAGGCTGTGATGGCTGTAGAGGGGGAACTTTGGGACTGGGAGAAGGATTTTCTGCCCTCCGGGTTGGGCTACTGGTTGCCTCTTAATGGAACTGTCTTGTCCTTTCACCCCATGCAGACTCCTTCTCCCCTCCACCCTGCATTTCAGCTATTTCCAGTGATAGCATTCATGCATTAGCCTGGGCTATTGGACAATGATAAGATTTTCCTTCCTTCAAGACAAGGGTGCATTAGTGCTCAGAAGGCTTTTATCTACCTACGGTGATATAGGATGTGATATACTCGTTTCAAAAAAAAGTAGAGTATTCATGTTATTAAAAACATTTTTTTTCTTTCTAATCCTGATTAGCAGCTGCTGGCTTTAACAATAAAGTTTGCCTTTGGAACCCCTATGTTGTCTCTAAGCCGGTTGGTGTCCTTTGGGGTCACTCAGCCAGTGTAATAGCTGTCCAATTCTTTGCTGCAAGAAAACAACTTTTCATCTTCTCCAAAGATAAAGTTAGTAACAGTGTGCATTTAATTTATTTAGTTCTGCCTCCCCAGTTCCTACCCAAATCTATCTTTGGTCTGAAATTCCTTTAGAGCTGGTATAGATTTTTATAATATAGTGACTTACTACTATGTTTTTGGAAATCTGTATTTTAAAAATGATACTGATGGTAATTTAGGAATAGTCCTGGGCAACTGGACAAGGTGTTTCATTAAAAAAAATTGTTTTAAACCATGTACTCATAGATGTAATCCTTATTTTTGGGTTCTCAATAGGCCACATTTTGAGAGTTTCCAAAGTACTCACTAATCCAATAAAAATACAAAACAGAAATGGGAATGAGAAAATGTTGCTTTGATAAGATATAGAATTCTTGTTAATTGGCACAGCCAATTAACTATTGTTGCTTTTCCACTGAAGAGACTCAGTAAATTAGAAATCAAAGTTAATCTGAAGAATATCAAGTACATTAATAACATTTCAGTTAAATATATTAGCCCATTCTATTTGACAATATTGGTACAAATTCTAAATATGGTGGAAAAAACATTGTACCAAAACCAGGTAGTCCCGGTTGTATCCTGATCACATTATTCACCACTCGTATCTCCCAGGAAAATTTCTTTATCTCTAATAATCTCATCATGTGTTCCTCTGTAAAGCTTCTGTTTTACATAATGCCTGATATAGATCCAGTTAACATGTGATAGATTTCAAGAACAGAAATCTATGAAGAGAAGAAGGATGGGCAGTAGGCTTATTGGGGACAGCCTCTGAGACTTTTTCAGTGACTCTGACTTTTAATTCTATTCTAAAGTGATACTTGTATATGTGAAAATTAAATAGAAAAAATAGAAATTCATCTTCAAATCCTTAGCCTCACCCTATGCATAAGTCCTGCCAAACTTGCTTATTTTACTGTATTACCTGTCAGACCGTAAATCTCCTCCCTTCACCTGAAACTTCACCACTCAACCACCAATTCTAGTTGATTCTACCATCAAATATATTTATCAGCCTCACCTCTCCCTCTCAACTGCCATTGCTCTAATTCAAAATCTCATCCTCTTTTGAATTATTATCTGTCGAGTTAGCTCATCCAAAACATTGCAAGGTTGCCTAACATGTCTCCCTTCTTGCATACCGGTCTGATTCCAATCTGCCCTACATCCTGTTAATTAAGTGGTGTCTAAGAAAAAATCTTCAATACCTCCTCTTACCCTCATTCTAAATATCAGCTCTAAAATTCTTAAGCTTTTATATAAAGCCCTCCCCCAGTCTACCAGGCCCACCTCACTTCTTGCTTTTCTCTTCCATTCATCTGATGCTCCGCATCACACTTTGCCTGTTTCCACCATGCTGCCTCATGGCTCTGCCACGTGCCCTTCTTTCTGCCTTCAGTTCCCTCTCCTCCATTCTCAACTGGCAAAAGCCTATTTATCCTTGAAGTTTCAGACTTTCTGGAGTCTTTCAGACAGACCTAGGTGTTTCTTTCTCTGCACTCCCATTGCACCTGTGTGTCCCTCCTTAGAACATGTGTTCTATTGTACTGAAATTGTAGTTAACTTTCCTAAGTAGGGTCAGTGTCTTTTCAGCTTGTACACTTGGTATCAGTCACAGTGCTTGGCACCTTGCAGTGTTTTTTTTTTTGGCTGCATTGGGTCTTCGTTGCTGCATGCGGGCTTTCTCTAGTGGCGGCAAGTGGGCTTCTCACTGTGGTGGCTTCTCTTGTTGCGGAGCACGGGCTCTAGGTTCACAGGCTCAGTAGTTGTAGCTCACAGGCTCTAGAGCACAGGCTCAGTAGTTGTGGTGCACAGGCTTAGTTGCTCTGTGGCATGTGGGATCTTCCCGGACCAGGGCTCGAACCCGTGTCCCCTGCATTGGCAGGCAGATTCTTAACCACTGCGCCATCAGGAAGCCCCAGTGATTATTTTTTGACAGTCTGAAGTGAATACATATTACTGTGAATCTTAAATACCAAAGAAAGTCAGAATGAAGACTTTTCTGATGCCTTAGCTTTTAGTTGTTCTATTTTCTGAGATCTTTTAGCACTTTGTTCTAACTCCCATTATTGAATTTGTTTTTTAAAATATTTATTTATTTGTGGGGTTTTTTTTGGCTGCCTCAGATCTTAGTTGCGCGTGCAGGATCTTTCCGTGTGGTGCGTGGGCTCTTTGTTGCTGTAGTTGTGGCCTGCGGGCTTAGTTGCCCCACGGCATGTGGGAATCTTATTTCCCTGACCAGGGATACGAACTGGCATCCCCTGCACTGCAAGACAGATTCTTAACCACTGGACCACCAGGGAAGTCCCCCATTATTGAATTTAACACAGCCTGACATGTATACTTGAAGGTTGTATATGTATACTCTATCTTTCACTGTACTTTGAGTGCTTAAAGACAAAGATTATTTGTTGAATTCATTTTTGTGTTTCTCAGTATCTAGCACATATTAATATACATTAAATACATGTTGAATAAAGCATATAAAATAGTGTAACTATCAACTAACCGACAGGATTCACGAGGTTTGGAACTCTCTTTTTGGGTTGTGCCATATACATAGTGGGTCCTCAATAAATCTTAGTTAAATGAACAAATCTTTATCAAAGCTAAATATGAAAGAAATAACAGATATTTTATCATTATAGAATTCCCTGAAAGGTATTATAACTTTAAAAGCAAGTGAAAAAAATGTTCTTAGAGTCAGAATTGATTGTGTATAGCTATCATCAATGTTAAGACTACCTGGCCTCTTTCAAGTCAGTTTTATCATCCTATTTTTGCTTTGACTTTTAAAACATTACATTGTAATGAAGCTTGTCATGCCGTCTTTCACATTAGTCTAAATCCATTTCACTTCGATAAATGCATAATAATCTTAGCCTGTATGTCTTCACAACAAACAACAGAGCTTTCAGCTACCAGGCTAAGCCTTTGTTTTATTGCATAAAATTCTTTTGGATATTTTATAGGACTAGGGTTAATTTAGGGAACAGGGAAAATGAGAGAAAGCATTCTTTTTTCAAAGAGCCTTTGATTGAACCATATTTTGGTCTATGAATTGCTAAATTAGAGGATTTTCAGACCAAAGTAATTTAGATCCAAATAATTTCCTGAGACTTACTTCAGTTCTTTTTTGGAAAACTTCTCTATTGTGCTTTCCAGTGATTATTAAACAATAAGTTTATCCCTATAGCATTTGGTATAAGTAATAGTCCAATTGCATTTTGCTTTGGACTTCTAAATTGTCTCCTAAGATGGCAATCACTGATGGCAAGGCCCTGCTGGGAGCCAGTAACTTGGTCATTTGGAGGAGGAATCACCATGGGAGTAAAAGGATTTTCAAAGCCTCTGGGAAATATCTCAACCAGTGAATCTGATTAGGCTTTTCTATTGCCCCTAACTCTTCTCTCCTGGGCTACTTATCCTGATTTGGCCACCAGAATCAGATCAGTTTGTAACTTAATCTTTTGTTTGAGGTTTTGATTTTTCCCAGAGTCTGGTTTCTGTATTGTGCACCCAAGGTTGGGAAGGAAAATTCAGACTCTTGTGCTGGTGACTAGCTCTTACCTGTGTGTCTTCATTCCCCTTCTGCGTACCCTCTCTCCTCAACTTTCCTCTATCCATCCAGAGACAAAGCCACTTTCATTTTGTTTAAATTATGCCAAGTAAACAGATTAATGCTCTTCTGTAAAAATTACAAATGAGAAAGCATGTAGTACAAGAAGTGAATATCCCTTTTCTTCACTCCCCCTTCAAATCAATCCCTCTTCCAAGAAATATCTATCATTAACACGATGTGTATTGTCTTATATTTATATCACATACTTATATACTATAACATATTGTATTATAATAATATGTGGTGTTATAATTTATTATTATATACTGTATACCATCCTATGTGTGTATACAAATACAAGGTAGTATTTATTATTAATTTTTATGTAAGTGGCATCACGTGAGACATACTTTCTTGCAACTTGCTTTTCCCTAAACAATATCTCCTGGAGATCTTTCAATGTGAGTATACATAGACCTGAATTTTTACCTGCTACATAGTAATTCATAGTATGGATGGTCATAATTTAATTATTCAATCACCTGTTGATTATAATAGATATTATCTCTAACCAACTGTCACACATACACACACACATTTACACACACATCTTTAAGACCACATAACTAATTTCTTGTGATATGTTCTTTGAGATACATTTCTAGAAGTGATGCTATTGGGTCAACAGGGATTCAATTCTTAAAGGATGGTTTAGATGCAGGAATATTGTTCCAATTGGTATACACGTCAGAGGTGTGTAAAGGTGTTTCTTTCCCCACATTCTTGTCAATGATAGATACCACTAATGTGTTCATTCTTTTGTGAATCTAATGGGCAAAAAATTAGGATGAATTTCTTCAATTATTTATTAGCCATTTATATTTCTTGTTTTTTGTGCATTATCTGATCAAGCCCTTTATCCTATCAACTGGACTCGGGAATACTATCAATAGTAGTAGTTTGACAAATATATTGATTATCCTTTATTATATATGATGCAAATATCTTGTCTCTTTCAAGCATACATCTTTTAACTTTGTTTATGTGATTTTTTTTTTTTTTTTTTTTTGCGATACGCGGGCCTTTCACTGTTGTGGCCTCTCCCGTTGCGGAGCACAGGCTCCGGACGCACAGGCTTAGCGGCCATGGCTCACGGGCATAGCCGCTCCGTGGCATGTGGGATCCTCCCGGACCGGGGCACGAACCCGTATCCCCTGAATCGGCAGGCGGACTCTCAACCACTGCACCACCAGGGAAGCCCTGTTTATGTGATTTTTATCATTCAAAAGTTTTAAATTTTTATGAAGTTGAGTCTAAGAAATGATTTTCTTTGTGGCTCTGGTTTTGTATCTAGCTTAGGAACATGTTCCACAATTCATATTTATAGAGGTGTTCTCCTTTAGTTTCTGCTAATACTTATTCTGTTGTCGAATTTTTTTTTTCC